TATGGAATGGGATGAAGATATATTAACCTATTGGATCCAGTTGCGTTACGGAAATCACAGTGCTGAAAATACAGGCAGTGGGTTACGTAAGTGGCCTATATCCCAGGTATGCTGTGCATAGGCCAGGTGTGTGCAAACACTCATGAGTGATGACAAGACTCTATGCCTCCCCTTTGCGAAGTTATTTTGTTTGAACTTTTTTTTTTTTTTTTTTTAGCTTTTTTGCTATTTTCCAATGTCCATATTTGTCTTTGATTTGCTATATTCAGATGGTGATAGCTTATTTTCCTTGCACAGACTCCATATCATCTCTCTCTGTAGTAAATAACTCAGTACAAGAAAAAAAAAAATTTAACATTTGGTTATGTGTTGCACATAATAATTTTTTTGTAATTTTCAATTTTGTGTAATATGGAAATGGCGTCCTCCCTGGAGTCAGTGCTCTTCCATTCGAAGCTTACGCACCTTACATTCTTCATTCATTTATTGATGGGAATAATGCTAAAGCCCTTTTCTAAGTGCGAAATGAGTCTATTCACGCTTCAGGAGATTTCTGCACTCATGGCGAGTCTTTTCCATCACCCTGGCCTTCACTCATGACACCAAGTTCATGCCACCCAGCTTGCGGCCATCTTGTTCAATGATGGCATGTTCACGTCACCTGGCCCTCAACTCAGATTATTCCATGACAGGACCGCAACATCATCTATACCATAGGGGTTAAGAAATGCAGGATGCTAGATTGTTTTAGTGTATAGTGTTGTGTGTAGGCCATTTGATGATTCAGAGAAAGTTTTGTTAGTGGTGACCCATTGACAATGTATTTTCTTTAGATATACAATTAGCCAAATAAGAACACCTTTTGAGCCTCTGTTCTTGAAATTGGTCTAATTGCATATTTAGATGTTTTGGAATAAATTAATCAAAGGCTAAAAGTGCTAAAAATACCTTATTGAAACTGGTAAGTAATGAATGATAGTGGGAAAATAGTAAAAGATGTACAAATATGAAATAATTAAACTATTTGCTAGTAAATAAGTTTTTTAAAGCTATTACAGTTGGCTATCGAATTTATTCTCTACTCTCTATTGCATGTGGGGAGCTAGTCTGTGTATGCTAATGTCACTCTTTAACATTGGTTTTGTGTTTCACTGAATTTTGGAATATTGTCAAATGCTTACATATGTATGTTGTTTATAATATAATTGTGCTTTTCTTTGTTAATAGTAAGGTGGTTTCTCTGTGACTGAAACCTTCATGTGATTCATTTTGATTCTTAAAATGATTTGAGGTTCACATCCCAGTTTTTATGATTGCACTGTTATATTATACACACATGTATACATACAAACTGTGCTATGAAGTATATAATTACTTTCATGAACTTTAAAAGGTTTATGATATTTTTGTTTATTGTAAATAAAAAATACTGTTATAGTGATTCAGCCATGTGAAATAGTCTTGGGAATGATGGATCTATTACATCAAAGCCACAGGTCAGCCTAATATTACAAGCATTCACAAATTCTGCAAACAAATGAGGAGCTTAGGAGCTTAACCAACATGAATGTTAAGGGCCAATATTCTGTACAAATATTGTTCACATATTTCTTAAACTTTCATGATAAAGATATACAATTGTAAAGTTTCAAATAGTACTTGTTGTTAAATCCCTATTTTAGACTTGCTATTTTTATGACAGCCATTACTGGTCTTTCCCTCTTTGGAACTTTTTAATATTTATATGTGACATACAATGAGTTACCATTGTCATCAGTGATATAATTAACTGTGTTTGTTTCCATGAATTTGAACAATTTGAACATGAAAGCAACAAAGTGACACTCCTCTCCTTTACACAGATGTTCTTCGAGGACAAGATTGACGATGCAAAATACTGTGGCCACTTGTACGGCTTAGGAACATCTTTTGTTGTTAATGGAAACTCCAACACCTCCTATGACAATGGACACACCTCGGACTCCACCTCGAATTCATAGTGCAAGGTCGCAGTGCCATCACTGGCGCAAGTGCCATGTACACAGACCAACACAGACCAATAACGTCCCACGGAAGAACTTTTGCCCCTTTTTTTTTTTAAAGTTGAGATATGTTTTTCAATCTTCCTTGTGACTAAACCAGCAGATCAAGTGAAGAATAAGAAAAAAATTCATTGTCGGACGGATAAGTGCTTGCCGACTTCCTCTTGAACGCACTGCCCCATCTGCAGCATCTCTGTGCAGGGATGTGATGCTATTGGTGTTGCCTTTATGCACCATCTTTTTCTTTTCCTTTTATCTTTTCCTCTATCTGTCCTTTGTCGTCTTTCATTTTTTCCTCAACCGTTTCTGCTTGGTCTTCCTCTTTCCTTCTCCACTCCTCTCATTTATTCTTTACTGGTATCCTCACATTTTTATACATGTGTAAAAAAATGTTGTTGAATATAACAGATCCATACACTGGTATATAATTTGTGAATTTGATAACACAACTTGATAATTTATATTGAGACACAAGTCAAATTTTTTTTTCTTTTATTTTAAACACTTGCTATACCTCTCTTGCCCTATCTCTTTCTCTTTCTCTGATTCTTCCACAATAAAAGAACTGATTTCCAACCACAGTAAGAATGTCAGAATATTAGGTAGGGGGGGAGTAGGGGAGGGGGCACTGAATAGGGAATCAAGCAATAGCATTTAACCCAAGCCCTAAAGTTAAAAGATAAGAAAAGAAATTAAAGTGCATCCAAATTGAATCTTAGGAAGAGTATGTGAAGGAAGTGTGATTGTTGGGCATCTTCCCGCGCTCCCACGTCTGCTTTGGGCGGGCCTGCCGGGATGTGGTCACAGGTGGTGGCAGCCTTTGTGGATCTCTTGCTTTCTGGCGCTCTTTCTATCCTTTGTTTCTTTCTTTTTATTGTTCTTGCTTTTTCTAGGGCTTCCATTTTTTCTCTATTTCTTCCTTTCTCTTTCGTGCTTTCTCAATTCAGTTGATCACTCAACTCACTCATTCACTCACTCACTCACTCACTCACTCACTCACTCACTCACTCACTCACTCACTCACTCACTCACTCACTCACTCACACATTCACACACAATCACACATTCACTCTCTCATTCACTCAATTACTCACACTTAACTCACTCAATCAATCACTCACACTTTCACTCATTCACTCACTCTCTCTTTCTTTCTTTCTTTCTTTCTTTTTTACAGTCTCACTCATACTCTTTTTATATGGAAGGTTAAAGCTTGTAGAAAAAAAGGAAAGAATGGTAATTTGTAACAGCCAGGGAGGGTTGTGGGCAGAGACTTTAAATATAAGCATATATTTTTATTTATCTATTATTATTAATTTTTATTTATTTTTGATTTTCATTTTGGGGGGGTGGGGGTTGATCATGAGGGGGAAATTCATCCCCAAACGCTCAGAGACAAATTAGTTTTAATCTACCGAAGTAAGGAAGGCATTTTATATACATACGTACATATACACAAATCATAGTTGTTGCTTTTGGATTATTCAAGAAAATGCCAGCTCTTATTGTTCATGTGGTTCATAAGAAATAATAAAAAAATAAATTTTGTTCGCTTTGAATATTTCTTAAATACTTTTTGGAAAGTAAGATTGTAAGATGGTCGTTTTATCTTATGTTTGCAGTGAATTTTCTTGCTTCACTATATTCAGTGCCTCTGTTTAATAACGTAATAAATACTCACAAACATGCCTTTATATCAGTCATTGATCTGATTAGGTTTCGTGCAGTGCTTCAGCTTTTTGCGCTATTATTTGCCCGCATTCACACCCTCTTGTTAGGCTGCATAAATGGGAAATAACTTCATTGGCATTTGAGAAAATACTCGCACTGGAGGATGTATCTGAAGTTTATCCAATGTGGCTGCATAGAAGTGCTTTTAATGTTAAGGGGAGAGTGATGGTTACTAAATCAACTTCAATGTAATTTCATTGGTTTTGTAGCAGTTGTCAGGTGTGACATCTGCATGATATCTGTGTAGTTGTCGGATTTAAAGCTTTACAGCCAAGAATAGGGCCCTAAGAATTGTAAAGAATTTAAGAAAACTGTCTTCTATTTTTTCTTTTGTTCTACATCTTTTTTTTCTTCTTTATTTCTTTTTTCCTTGCCTCTTCCAGAAACCTTTTTGTCTCCTTGCCAAAGTCTTGGGGTTAGTTCTTTTTTTCTTCTGTTGCCTCTCCCAAAAGTCATTGCTTTCTAGACAGTACTTGAGGTTATTTCTCTCGGAATCTTGTGTTACAATGTCAACCACCATTTCAGCTTCAAGGTTTATTTATGTTCATTTATTTATTGTAACCACTCAGTTTTTTTGCTTTGTTTTGTGATGGATAAATTTCCATCACACTATGGTCAGCAATAGCCACATTCTTCACTATTATACCTCCTGCAGTAAGTGTTATAAAAATGTCTCTAATTGGGATGAAAGTTTATAGAATTTATTTACTACTTTTAAGTATCTTTTATAGTACTTATTTATTATCTGTTACCATTAGTTTTTCATCTTGTTCTTTACTGTTATTATCATTATTACTACCATTACCATCATTTTAGAAAACAATCTGTAACAGCTTTTGTAGGTCTCTCTTTCTTTCAATTGCACCTGCTTAGGTAACCTTCAGTCTGAGCAAGACCTGCGAAATGCTGAGGCTCTTTGCGTCCATATTTATGAAAGAGAACAGAGTAGGGTTATGGAGGAGGGAAGGGTCTATTTCAATTGCAAGTATTTTGAGCTGGGAGTGGTGTGTGCTTTGAACCCCGTAGTAGCAATGGAGCAAGAAATGGATAATGTTTTTTTTAGGTCAGGAATGACTGTTTCACTGACTAGCTGTTTATTTACTAATTTATTTATTTTTATTTATTTATTTTTTACCCATATTTGTTTTTATGCTTATTATTATTAGGTAAATGAAGACATGGGATGTTTCAGGGAGGGGGGATTCAAAATGTAATATTAAGAAACCCTTTTTTTTTTTTTTTTTTTTTTTTTTTTTTTTGACGTCGTATCCCCATCTGTTAGCGTAATAAGCATTTCAAAGTCCGATAATCTTTTCAAAGTCAGTTCAAACACAGGCAGACCCTGGGAAGGTGAGATTGCCACCAGCAGCTGACTTTTTGAATGTATGTTGAAGGATACACTGCCCTAGTATTCAGTCGTGATGGAAATCGAACCGTCGTGTAGCGCTTTCTCTCTATAGGTAGACCAGTTGTATGGACGGAGGAAAGAGGTTGAAATACTTACTGTTTATTAAGAAAAATGCTAACCAAATTCCTGTGATGAAAGGAAGATTCTCAGCTTTGTCAGAATAGTTGTTTTTTCTTTTTTTTCACTTCACAAATTTAATATATTTGGTTTATTCTATTTTGAGATGAACTCAGAATAGTAAAGTAAAACAAACAAAAAAACAGTTTATTTCTCGTGACAATTGAACATATAATTGCGGAAATTCTCATTTAGGAAAGAAAAATTGCCCAATATTTATACTATGTTGTAATATAGGTAAATTCATAATATCACTAAGAAAGAAGAAATAGCTACACAAGATGCCATAGAAATGAGGAAAACATTTGGATGCACCTTCAGTTGTCTTAATACACAAAAGAGAGAGAGAAATGATAGTGATAATCCCTTTTCTTTGGGGCTTTGGGAAACCCTTTTGTTATTCATGCACAGTGGGAAACATGGGAACAAAAAAAGATTTGCTGGTGTTTGAGAGTCACGGAGGACAACGTTGTGTATTGTGAATGGCAAGATGTTCATGATTGGTGTTTGTGTCCTGTTGAATCAGCCGATGATAGACGCTCTTTTCAGAAGTATAAGATGAAAATGGAACGAAAAGAAAAGATATTCGGCTGTGCTGTCACGAAGATTAAGTTGGCCTGCATTTGGTATTGGAATGCAAGCCCTGTTCTTTATTTTTTTGAAGTGGCGAGAAGAAAATGTGAAATGGGAAAGAAATAGAATTGTGAAAAGAGTACTGAACTATGTGTGAACAAGTTTTTTGTTACACTTGGTAAAGGGCAGAAAGAGAAGTCATGTAATGGCCTGCTCTTTCTGTGTATTGAAGTGGTGGAAAATCCGTTGGAATTTTGGTGTAATTCCATTTGCGTGAAAGTTGGATAGCAGATTGAGAACAAGAGGTCACCGGAAATGGACGCTTCAAAGTCTAAGCGGAGACGGATAAACAAAAAAAAATGAGAGCGCCAGGATTGCTCGGCAAGTTTGCAAGCTGCCTTACTTTGACCGTGGAGTTGTGTACTTCAGGATGTTGTTATTACTATCAAGACCTTAAATCTTGACTGTATTCAGATGTTTGTTATTGATCAAGGCTGTGACCGTGGAGTTGTGTACTTCAGGATGTTGTTATTACTATCAAGACCTTAAATCTTGACCTATTTGGCAACGTGATTAAGCATGTGGAAGAAGCTTGCTTGTCTCAGTGGCCAGTTTCCCTTTATATAAATAAAAATAAAATTGCTCTTGTGCAAACACCCCACACCATTGTAATACAAATGCGTTTACCAGGGAAGAAAACCTACCAGGTCATCAGAATGTTGTGGATATGTTTGAGTCAGCAGTGATATAGGTATCCACTGGAACTTGTAGGTCAAAAATATATGATTTATGTATTGCCTACTGAATTTTCAGCTTCTTTGTGAACATTTTGGGGAGACATTTCCAGTTTAATAGGCTTGCTCTTCTCAAAATGTTAAAAAATAACATTGTGATATTGGAGGTGAATTTTTTTTAACAGGTGTACGATTATTTACTAGTTATATATTGGTCTTTGTTATGCTCATAGAACTTTGCTGAGTTGCAAAATTGTTTGATGTATATACTCATGTTAGTATATATAAATATGGTGTTAGTATATATAAGATATATTGGGTAACTAATTATACTGTAAGATAGTAGTGATACATGTGGTAATGTGCCAAGCACAAACAAATTCAGATTATTTGAAATAGATTGAAGATTAAATGATCAAATAAGTAAAGGTATTTAACTATAATAAATTAGCATAGATTCTAGTGAGCAAACAATATATAATATATAATTATATACATATATAGGTAAGGGGATAACTAATCTGAATAATCCTTTTTTAAGATGAGCTGTATTGTTTATGTATGTAACACCTGTTCCAATAGAACACAAACAATAGTGACATCATTGTTTATCTTAGGATATTTGCATAGCAGTTTATTCATGTTTTCTTCTTCGTATTTCCAAAATACTAATTCAATATTTTATACGCTTTTATTTGTTTATTTTTCTCTTATTTGGATAAAAATAAAGGGGGGGTTGTTCGTATCCGTGTATTACATTGTCATTATCTTCTTAGGTAATAATCAGGCATTGGGAAAACCATGGATAAGGCGGAAAAGAAAGAAAACATTATTAAAAATAATAATGTATCAGCGTTAACCATTAATGAGCAATCTATAGCTTACAGTACACACCTCAACTTTAAATTGTATTTAATTTTTTTTTGCTTTCTTTACTTTAACTTATTATTTTACTAATTTTTGTATATTTAATTTTCTTTCATTTGGATTTGCTGACAAATTTATACTATGTATGTCTGAAATGCATCTATGTGATCTGCCAAGGGATTTGATTGGCAGTTCGGAATATAAGTATTGTGAGTGTGATGTAAATTGCTACCAAAGAAATCTGTGTATAATTTGATTATTGATATAATACCTGTATGTTGGTAACAATATCTTAACCAGCTTTTTGAATTTTTTTATGTGCTTCAAATTCTATCATTACCCTTTGGCTTCGTATGTGTATTTATTGTTCTCCAGGCTATGGTCCAGTTAATGTTCATGGAATATTTGTTAGATAAAGTTGCATGAATTTGCCCAAGAAGTGAGGATTGTCTAGATTGTAATTGAGAGGATCAGGTGTTAGGATCTTATTTTACTCCTGATTGATTTTTCCGGTTGATGCGAGTATTGCACACCAAAAACGATGTGTGTGATTAGAAATTAGATGATGTACTAGCTCTAATTGGTCTTCGTCGATTTTTTTCCTGCATTTCTAATTGGAATATAGAGTCTCATTTTGCAAGACTTATTTAGATTTTCGTTACACTTGAAAATGTGATCACTATTATGTGTGTAGTTCTTACATTTGTCTTGCTTTGTACTAATCTTTGTGTATATCTCGTAAGAGTTTTAAGTTTTTAAGGTTTCCTGAGTTACTCTTTTTTGTATTAACAAATTTGAGTTTTGTGATAAATTATTATCCAGGAGGCCCCGATGTCATGGATCCTTCCTGATTAAGTATAGTTAATATCATTATCTAAGATCATTTTTAACGTTTGCTCAAGGAAGTGGATGGAATATAAGAGATCATATTGAAGTATCTGTCTTTTATTAATAAGCTCTTTGTTTTATTATGGTATTTTCGGTTTTTCATTGACTGTGATATTTCACCAGATCTATGTTATCATTTTCATGCCTACCGTTCACTTTTATTATTTTGATCTATCAAATATGTTTGGGTTAGATGTAATTATCTATACTTTGAACCGTTTCATTACTTTACTTCGCATTTATCGTGTATCAAAAATGATTAAGGGACACCATCTATTAGTTCAACCACTTCACTTAAAATTCTGACATTTTTCATTTTATTTAAATTTGTACTCATGGTATTGGTAAATATATACTATTTATATCAACTATTCTTTTTAGCAGCTTGTAAATAGCTCTATCGATTTTGTTAATTATATTGTATTGAGAGAGCAAAGGAAAAAGTAATACATTCTATGATGTTTTTGTTAACAGAAAGAAATACTTATTTTGTTAATTATAGTATTTATTGCTATAGATAGAGACAAAAAATCCCTGCTTTTCTTCTGAATGACAAAAACCCCTCAGCACCATTCCCTATGCCTAGGTTGTTATAGTCGGAGAGTGTAGGGTTGTGAGCTTAGAAGTAGAGTAGGGAAGGACTGTTAAGAACCCAATTGAGCGAGAGTAGGGAGAGTTCCCGTTTCATTGGCACTCGAGCCCTCGACTCAACTAATTATATGCTAGAGTAGAATTATTTAGGTAGATTATTCTGGGCCTCAGATCAGCTTTTTAGGATTAATCCAGGCGTCTCCTTCGTACACAATTATCCCTCTATTATTAGTAGGTTTCATACTTTATATAAAATACTGATCTGTGCCTTTTGAAACTGTGTACTGAAAAGCGGCGCTGACAAGGATGAAAAAGACTGGACCTGCTTGCCACAGGTCATGATTGACTAAAGAATTGAGTTATACTGACCTCACAGGCTCCTGCACAGGAGTAGCTAATATGGGCACTAGGTTACTCTCCTATATTTATTCTTGATCAATCGACCACTTATTACACACGTTACAGGGGGCTGAGGCCCTGCGGGAGTTGTGGATTAGTTTTTGTATTAAATCTGCCCTTTACCCAGAAGAATCAAGGCTATCAATTGCTCAGTTAAATATTATGCAAGAGTGTTAAATCCCTCTAATTAGGGGTCAATGAGCTTGCCCCCAAATTCCATCAAGCTTAGCCCCAACCAATCTCAGCTCCAGACCCCAGGCGTTTCCTGGACCTCAATAAGACTCCAACACTGAAACTGACTCCCACATGTCCTCAAAATCGAAAACCAATATACAATACGGTGCCAGATTACCCACCCACAGGCACTGACGGAATCTCACATGGAAGATATCCACACCTAACTATCACCTTCCCATCGTTATCACCTCAATATTCCAATTCAGACCCTTCCTAGCCACCTACAACCATCTCTTCTATCATAACACAGAACATGCTCCCCCCAATCCTCCTTGACTACTCGCTCAGACAGCCCTTTTAGCTACATCGCACTTGTCTCCGGAACTTCGAGGGTAAATGACTACCCCCCAAACTTTCAACAACCACAACACCCCGCTTCCCAATCCTCTACCAACAACCAACAACTACAAACATACCTTCAAACTAACTCTATTTAGCAACAGCTAAATGGACCGATTTTTTTTATACATTTCATTATTAGATCTCCCCGTACATGCCTCTCTTACCTCAGGCAACACTCTTATACTCAAATAATACAAACAATGTCTCCTCACATAAAACTTTCCATACCCGACCGTTGAGTTGCTCCCAGCGAGTTCTCGTAACAGTTCAGAAATCTTGGCACGGACTTGGTGCTTCAATGCATTATAAGCTATTATACAAATTAAGCTAACGATCTCTCTGGCAACCCCAATTCCTCGTGACAGAACCTACAGCAAACTCTTTAAATAACTGACTGTTGCCTGTACGCGGAAACTGTCTCTATTTGCTCACGCCAGCAAGACAATCATGCCAGCGAGGATACCAAAGATTTGTGTCTGAAACTAAGATTTTTTTTTTTGCTATTTCGTCATATGTGCAGGACTATTATGTCACCAATCTGTTTCGAGGTAAGACTTTGAGCGCTTCGGCTGACATTCTCAAAAGACCAGGAGATTAGTGAAATAATTGTGATGATATATCATGAGTGATATTCTATCCCACAATGTTTTATCGCTATCTGCAATTAAGTGGACAGATCTTCCCATCCGACTGTGTACTACCATACACATGGGAACCCTACCATACCCAACTCCCCCCGTCAGTTGTGCAAGAGGATTGTTGGTCGGATGGACAGGTCCTGGCCAAAACACTGCGCTGTCTCCAACAGACCAAAATGACATCTGGACCCGTACACCAACTTCATTGCATAATCACGATTCAATACTGCCTCATGACGACAAACAGAGGAACCAGCGGCACATGTGCTAACTGCGTTTCAAAAGCCAAACAGGCAGTCCACAATGTATGTTTTATTAGAGGCTGTCCCAACTTAACATAGTTTCAGAGTCGAGGAGGTGATAGCTCTTCAAGAAATAAACAAAATAATTGGTTCATTCACTCGATATGTGACAAGCCAGAAAGGAAGCACGGGCCGACAAAGGGTAATATCTGCTTATATACTCCCGTACTTCAGTAATCAGACTGTCGCCTACTGCTCTGCCCCCCTCCCCACCCCCCCCCTTCCACCTCCAAGATGTTCCTACAGCACTCCCCTATACCTACCTACTCCCCACTTCTCAACTATCTACATTCAGACATCCCCCTCAGTCAAATTCTTTTATCCGCGCCATCTAAATCCAGACATTTATACTATCCCAGAATGTCCCAGAATAGGTTTGTATTTTTTATGAATAAGACAGCCATAGATAGAAAGGACAGAGATAAAAGAAATAGTGGGAGAGATATCTATATCTATAGTTTTCATAACTTAATCCGCATTCAACCCTACTCTGTAAAAAAGTAATTGGCAACAGTAAGAAGATTATGATCACTGTATGGACATTGTGGCGCACAATTGCGACAAAGAGTTCCATTATCCTCACACCAGCTCAGTCCAGATGTTTCTCCCACTATCCAGACCCTCCAAACACCATACTCTCCCCCGCGCCTCTTCCGCGTTCCTCACATACCTAGCAGTAGACAGTACCGGAAATGTTCCACCCCTTCTTATCCAGCTCCTACTCCGACACCTCA